ATGAAAAGTGAAGCGCCAGTGTTCGACCAGCCAGGGAAACGGTTGCTAGTTGACCGACTTAGCCCACATTTAGTTCAAACACTTTCCCACATCCTTTACCACTGCTACTCTCCCGTTTCCTCACCCATCATCCCGACCCACCAACCACTCAAGCCTCCACCCTGCAAACTGGAATCTGTTCGCCCGCCTCTCTCTACCTCCGGGCACTTTTACAATGAGGTTTTTCTTTCTCAAAGTCCATACAACATTTTTCCACCCTCCTTACTTCCATCTTTCTTTTCTCGTCTTACTCTCGCCATAATTTTCGCTAATTTTTACTTGCTTCCAGCCTCTTCTTTGTTTTTGCCAACTTCTTTCGCTCAATCTCCCGAGTTCTACTTTGCTCTTACTTTTAGGATATTCCTGCCTTACTCTTCATTTGCCTCCTTACTCTCCCCCAATGCTTTCCCATTTTTCTCCTCCCTCATTATTTATGTTTCGTTTTTCTTTTTCTTTTTTTTTTTTGCATTTCCCCCCTCTTCATATTCATTCTTTCTATTCTTCTCGTTTACGCCGTCTTCTCACTGGCTTCTCACTTCTCATTTACTTTTATCGTCCCGTCAGAGATGACCTCATTCTTTTTTTTTTTTTTTTTACTATCATGAACCATGCACACTGTTTTATGTATTGAGTTCTTCTTCATTTCGAAAACTCCTTTGCTTTTCTCTCACTTCTTTATCTCACATGCAGCTTGAAAACAATTTTTAAATCGCTTTTGACTTAACTTTTTTCGTTTAACTTTTGAAAAATATTTCTTTGTGACTCTTTTTTCCTCTTTATCCCGCAGTTTCAAATCTTCTTTCAACTATTTCGCTTTCGTTTTTGAAAAATCTCTTTTTGAACTCCTTTCCTCGCTCTTTTTTTTCAACATTTGATTTTTACCATATTTCTTCGATAACTCCATTTTCTTCTCCTTTCTTTATTCACAATCTTTGTATCTATGTATGCAGATGTAGAAACAAGAGAAGTTGATTTTATTTATTTATTTCAAAATATCTCAAAATTAAAGGTTTGCTAAAATTTAGACCGCTCTGAATGAAACAAGATTTCTACATTTTATTATGAAAAATATGATATAAAAAATATTAGAGAATAAATAAATGACAAGATAGGAAAACTTAGTCACACGTTTCGTTTTTAGAAAGAATGTCTTGAGGCTAATAACCGTTTTAATGTGGGTATCAGTTAATAAAAAGAAAAAAAATCTAATCTTATATAAAAAGATGTGGAATGGGTGAATGGTAAATACGACAAACATAGTTTACAGTTTTCATAGAAATGTTAAGGACGAACAGACAGACGACCATAGATGACGAGATTTTCTATTTAAATATTGACATCCCATGTTAAATTATTTGATGCAGGTTTTTACCGCTTTTATTTTTATTGTTATCGATATTGTATTTAATTTTCCAATGTTGTATTAGAAATAATTTTGTGATGAAAAGAGATATATTGTAATGATCCTTTACCCCAATTTACCTTAGAGGATTCAGCAATCACTGCACTTTCAATACATTTTCGACTCAGTTATTTTTCTTTTTTTATCGATGTAAAATCTGCGTTTGTTGTATTTCTATCTCCCTCTTTTTTTCACTTTTTATATATATCAGCGGTGGCCAAACTTTCTTAATGCAAGAGCCGCATACGATAAAGTTTAGATGATTGAGAGCCGCAAGACATGAACAAAATTTACACATTAACATTAAAGTTACGTTTTAAGCCAATGAGGTCTCAATTCATACTCAGTAAATAATTACAAAGCTTGAAATTTTATTTACCTTTTATATTAACTGTGATGAAAAAAGGAGCTCGGCCAACAAATTTTCACAAGCCGCATATAAAAGGTCACAGAGCCGCATGTGGCTTGCGTGCCGCAGTTTTGGCCACTACTGATATATAAGACTGACTCCATCAACAAAACCACTATTAGTATGAAAAAGTTTCTTCTCGGAACGAAATGTGTCACTATGACGTTTTTTACCTTTTGTCATTCACTTACACCTAATGATTTACAATGTATTTATTTGCTCTTGCTTTTTATACTGGGAGTGAATAGCGTTTTCATTCCGGTGCTTTTAGGCAGAAAATTCTTTTTTAGACATTTTTTAACAGAAAAACGAGACAGACTTTAAATTTTGTTAATGGAAATACATAGGACGTAGAAGCACATCTATACGTCTGCCGTTATCGAAATATACATATACTGAAATGAATATATAATCATGATCATAATGATTAGTCATTGCTAGTACTCTGCAAGTCATAGGCCATTAACGAATCTTTACATGATGACAGTGACTGTGTCATCCTCTGCTATGTCTTATCAACAAACATTTCGATTTCGTTTCCTACTGCATTTGATACCGACTGAAGCAACCCTTTATAAGGCAACCTTTTACTCCATCTTTTAACTTCTTGCTATGAACCCACCTATTAGTATTTTATAGTATCATTGATCGTGGTTTATTTTCTTTTTTGCCCTTTTTCTGTCTTTCTAGACTTATATTTAGAATTGCTATTTCCATTGACCTTTGTGCCTTTCTGGTTTGATTTTTTGGTTATTTTGTTCATTTCTAGAATTTTAGGCGATTTTGTTCATTTCTAGAATTTTAGGCGATTTTGTTCATTTCTAGAATTTTAGGCGATTTTGTTCATTTCTAGAATTTTAGGCGATTTTGTTCATTTCTAGAATTTTAGGCGATTTTGTTCATTTCTAGAATTTTAGGCGATTTTGTTCATTTCTAGAATTTTAGGCGATTTTGTTAATTTCTAGAATTCACAGTAGTACGCCACATCTGACATTACACATTCATTATACACTTTACATTTTTAGCATCGAATTGTTACAATCAAGCATTATTCACACTATTTACATTGTTCGGACTCTTGTCCCCATCTTTGTTGCCATATTTACAACATTTAGGCCGTTGTACACTCCGGCTTTCTTCAGGTAAATCATGCAAGATTTTTGTTATATTTCTGTTCATATTTAAACCAATTCAAACCAACAGACTTTCTCTACTTATTTCTTCATTGCGTGTAATGTAATTCATCCAATGATTCAGATATTTGTAAAATGTCTTCAGCAAATTTTAAATGGTTGAAATATTTTCTGCTTAATTTTTACTTCCATTTTATCACATTTCCGTTCCCGAAAGATAATTAAAAAAACCTGAGTTGAGGTGAAATCATATCTAATGGTCTCGCACTTTTTCCAACATTTATGTGTTTCATTATGCAGTCGAAATACAACAGTTCAAGGTCGTATAAGATATTCTCAATATATTTCCTATAGTATTCGTTAGCACTATGTCATTGTAGTGAGTTAAAGACTGCCGAGTCTCCTACTGATTCAAATGCCTTAAGTTACACGCATATACATGCATCTGATGTAAAGTTTTAATTGTTTTATACTCCTTCCTCAAATATATGTCTAGAAGCATGTCTATCCATCGTGAAACGTGAAACTGACAGTCACTATCTGCACTGTCTATAAATATAAGCGCTCTATCTCCGATATTGTACCCTTTTTTGCTATCAAATATAACAGTTTTTAAACATTATGTACACACATACACATACAGACATACACGCACCAGCAGCAGCTGAACCATTGATTCAAGGCACAATGGATCCATACTTTCATTTTTTACCCAAAATACAGACCTTCCGAACGTTGAAATCAAGACTCATCAGACCCGGCAACGCTTTCCAAATTTCTATTGCACAATTTCTCTGATTCTTAGTGAATGGTATCCTCATTTTTTTCTTTTTATCTGACAGGAGTGATACTCATCGTGGTCTGTTGCTACGGTCCATTTACTTTAAGATCGGACGGGTTGAGCTTTCGGCAATCTTCTGTATGCCTCCATTGTTAAGAACGTTTATTTTGGCTCCGATTGCTTTTCTATCAACTGGAAATCAGCCCTGCCATTTTTCTCCAACCATTTTGAAGGGATTTTCAACCGCAGAAGTGTATGTTTCCTTTTTCTGGCCATCGGATCTTCACTTTTTATTTTCAATTTGCATTTATTCAGATACGTATTCAGACTTATACTACAAAATAAACAATCGGGATGCGGCTGAGGAACCTAAATCTGACGTTAAAATTTGGGGTGGCTAATTCAGATGTTACGTTTCAAGTATTTCTAATTCTACATTTTTTAAAATCTGATTCGTTCATATACTGAATATTCTTAGAGATATTTTCCTTAATTCGATTTACACGGGATTTTTTCAGTTTTAGAATTACATTTTTTGAATCGAGTTCAACCCAAAGCAGTAAAGCCACTGAGACACAAGGGGTTACTGGGTATGGAAGAGTTAGAAACAGGAACAGCTGCTAGGGAGTGAGAACAGAGGAGGAGTAATCAGGAGGACAATAGATAGACATTGTATTTACATTTTTGCAGATTTAAGCTGGCTGAAAAACATGGAACCAGAAGGGAGTTCCACAAACGGAGAGTGTGAGAAAAAACTGTTAGCATAGAATTTATGGTTACATTTAATAAGCTCAACTGTAAATTGGTGATACCTTGTCGCCAAAATAATACAGTGCTTAAATTCAAGGAATTTAGACACCATAGTGAAGAGCCCATCTGAACAATTAATACGAAAGTATTTATAGAAAAGGTAAGGGGAGGCGGTGGGAAAGTGACTGAGGCCGAGACGCTCGATCGAGGCCAATAATATTGCTGATTCTTTGGATTTTATCAAGTCGCTCTAGATAAATAGAAATATCACTGGACCATTTTTGGCAGTAATATCCTAAGCATAGACGAATGGTAGACTTATAGATATGAAAGACAGACTTACACGACACAGTGAACCAAACTTCTTTTGAGAGTTACAAAAGTAAAAGTAAAAGAAAAGAAAGAGAAATTCTTATGATGCAAAAAAAAAAAAAAAGGAAAAAATGAAGAGAGCAAAAAAAGAAAAAAAGGAATCTGAAAGAACATAATCGACTGGTCAGGATCCTAGAATTCCAAAACGAGAATCTCCGTCTTTTGAGGAGGGTGTCTCAAAATATATTGGGGCTTTATGAAAAGTGGGAGCAATAACGGACATTTACACTTAGAAAGATGTAAATGAAATTTCTGGAATACATAATGAGTAAAAAAGAGTTGGAGAACTTGACCCCCGTATGACTTTTTGAAGGGGGGGGCAGAGTAAGAGAAAGAGAGACAGAAACTTGTTTAAATAGAGAGCAGAACAAAGAGTTAGAACAAAGGTTTAGTAAGGAGACAAGTATTGATAAAAGCTAAGAGATGGGAAATTGCAAAGAGCCATTATCACTCACGTCCTGAACGTACACGGCATAAAAGAAGACCCTCCATTTTAAAACATCCTAAAGTAAGCATTTATAAGTATTTGATTTCAATACATTTATTTATGTTTGATTTTTTCTTTTCTTGCATACACTGAACAGGTATACACCAGACATACATAGATGCACAATTGCCTTAAAAATAGACAATTTCCTTGAACTACTGTAGTCGATCAAAAACCGGAGATATTTTTGCGCACCTAACTCAAGTAAGAAGCGGTTTTTATAGAAACATGCAAAA